CGCCTTGCTGTTGCCGGCGCGCGCGCGCGCGAGCGCAGCGCGTGTGCGCGCCTGCGGTCCTGCTTCACTGCATGATGGCGGGGAATTCGTTGGGGCGCCCGTTGCGGGCGACTGCGCCTCTCGATGGGGTCGCGCGTTTGTGTCGCGCGAGCTGGCGCCTGCCAGCAGTTGTAGCTCCGCGGTGCAATGGGCTGCCTGCGGGAGGAGTTCCAGGGCATGCCGCTGCCCCCCTGAGTCGTCGCTGCGTTGCCCAACGATGCAACCGTGGTCTGTCCTTTTCATACGATTTGATCCTTTCGCGAGCTGTCTGACATTGCACTGGCCGCAGTGTGGCATGGCGCAGGCGACGAGCCCTAGCTAGCAGGCGTCGCTCTCGTGTGGGATGTCGGCGGCGGGCTCTATGTCGTCGCCCTGCTGGCGCGAAGACTCGCTGAGAAACGCAACGTCAGCGGGCAGCCGTGTGGGCCCGACAGTGGCAGCGCCCGTGTGTGCGCCCTCGCCCCAGCCCGGGTGCTGCCACGGTCGCCGCTGCCACGGCCGGCCGCCCCGGCCCGCTCGACGTGGAAGTCTTCCACGTCTGAATGCTCCTCCCTTCCCCTCCCCTGCGCGGCCGCCCTTGTCCTTTTTCCCTCTCTTCCATGCCGGCCAATGTCAGGAGAGGAAAAAACACACAGACACAATTAATCCTCGATTCCCCAGAAAATATGGGAAAATATGGGAAATGGGGGGGAAGACAGAAACCCAGAAAATATGGGGAATCTTTTATTTGTGTTTATTTATTTGTGTGTCCTGGGGCCCCTTCATCCATGCCGGCCAATGAGCCATTCGGTTGCCCCGAATGGCCACACGCTGGTGCGGACCGCCCCTGCCTCGCCGCCGACGGAAAACAAAAATGTGGGCCTGACAGCCTTTTCCCTTGGCCAGGGCTTGCGAAAGGTGTGTGGCAACCCGAATTGGTGACCCGGCCTTGGACGCTTCCGACAGGCTGACCGAAGTGGCAACAGTTTGGGCGTCGACAGCTGCATGGCTCTGAGTTGGATGCTAGTGCGACCGCGATCCGCCGATCCCGAGGCAAGGCAGGAGACGGGCTTGTCTTGTAACAGATCCGCCACCATGTCCGCACGTGCGTTCGTTCCCCAAGACACATTACTTAATGGGACAGCGCCACGTTGGTCCGAAAGTGGTGGCAAGCAGTGCGCAGACAGGCCGGGGCTTTCCAGTTGGATCCGCGTAGCATGTCAGCACTTTTGGGCCTCCTTCCGAGCTCACGGAAGTAACGACACGTAGACACTTGAGAGCACCTTGGCAGAGCGAGGGCTGGCCCGTCATCGTAGGACCGCCTTGCATCAGACGTTCTAGAAGTTCGCAGAACTGGTGACGGTTCGCGCTTGGATCTTGGTGGCGCGGCAGTCCGCTGGACCTCCTCCTAGCAGTTCACGATCTTCCCCTTGGGGGGGCGGCGCGAGAGCGCGGAATTATTCGCGAAGCGCGAAACGCGGAATGGGGCGCCACTGTGGAGGCCGAGGTCTCGTTTGGTCCGTTGGACCGCCCAGGGGCTCACGGAGGTGACCACGTTTGCGCAGGTGGAAGGACCAAAGGCCGGCGGCGAGCGATGGGGGGGACATGAGAAGGGGCGGGCCTGCTCAGAAGGCTCGGACGTCCCCCGGCCATTTCCAGAGTTTTCTACGCCTTCCCCGAAGACGCAGAGAAACTTCTGAGAAGGCCCGCCGCCTCCTGAGAAGGCCTTCTCACCCGCCCCCTCTCGCTCGCCGCCGCAAGGGGGGAGGCCGAGGTCTGGTGTGGAGTTGCGTGCGGGCCGCGATCCGCTGGACCCCCGCCCCTCCAGGGAGCCCGCGGAGTGGCGGCGCAGGACCCCAGGGAGTGCGAGGCCCACGCAGTCCAGGAGCCGCGAGGGGGCCGCGGTCCGCGGGGCCCGCCCCGAGGGGCCCTCGAAAGTGGTGGTGGCTGCGCACTTCGCACCACCCCAGGGGCCTGCCCCCCGTACAGGGGGATTTCGGGCGAAAAGATTAAACATACCCCCACATTATATCTCAAATATGCTCGGACATAGTTGAAACATCGTCCCCATACCTTATTTTTTCCTGTTTTTGAATACTCCTCCTGTAGAGGGACAGACCCGACTTGAGTTTAGTCTGAAACAACGTGGAGCCCTAGGCCTCCTAGATGGGGTCGGAGTAGATTGGGTCGGAGGATCGCGCCGCATCGCCGATACATCGGCGATGCGGCTCGATGAGGAGCCCGCGTTGCTTCGCGTCGACCTCGTCGGTGAATCGCCGACGTCGGCGATGCATCGCCGATGCGTCGCCGATGCATGGCCGATGCATCGGCCATGCTGCGGGATCCCCCGACACCATCTACTCCGACCCCATCCAGGAGGCCTCTTGGGGCTGCACTCCGCTGCCCCCCCTCCGCCAGAAAATCGCGAAAGTGGCGACAGGCGTGCAATTGGCAGCGGATCTGTGTAGGACCGCGCCGCGATGGACCCCCCCCCAGACCTCACGAAGCAGACGGCCTGTATCTTCAGGGAACAGGTAGGCTCTTCTTTCGGGGCTCGGTCTCTGGATGCATGACGCTCCTCTTCCCCCACGGGCACCCCGCCACTGTCGCCATGAAGGGAAGGGTGCTACCACGGGAAGCGGATCCTGGATCCCCGGGGCGGTCCCACCAGAAAACGGCGAACACCATTGCATGGCTCTTCTCCTCCAGATTTCGTACAGCATCACATCTCGGGGAACAACAAGTGACATAAACATGAAAGCTCGGAGGTCCGCGCGGATTTCTCGGATCGGCGCTGGACCCCCTTCCCTGGCGCGCGGAGCGCGCCAGGGGCGGCGCCGGAGGCGCCGCCGGGGGGCCCAGCGCCGATCCGAGAAATCCGCGCGGACCTCCGAGTTGTTATGCATGTTTATGCTTTTTTTTGCTCCCCTAACAACGCACACACACACACACACACACACACGCACACGCACACGCACACGCGCACGCGCACGCGCACACACACACACACACACACACACACACGCACACGCACACGCACACGCGCACGCGCACGCGCACGCGCACGCGCACGCGCACGCGCACGCGCACGCGCACGCACGCACGCACGCACGCACGCACGCACGCACGCACGCACACGCGCACACACAGCATATCTCGAGGCTGGGGCCTCGCCCGCCTGGCCTCACGGGGCGCGGACGCGGGCATGCGGCGCGCAGGGGCGCGCGCGCCCTGGCCGCGCAGGGCCTCGGGGGCGCACCCCGCCGAGGCCTCTGCGCGGTGAGCAGCCCGCCCGGGAGGGCAGCAGAGCCCAGGAACGTTTGGCAGGCCCCCGTCCCGACCACGAGAAATCGGATGAGTGGGGGGACTGTCGGGAAATCGGCTCCCAAAGTACGCATATTGTCCCGAGTGGACCCCCGACGCGCGCAGCCTCTCATGCAAGGCCGTGGCCTCACCCGCCTCGCCCTTGAGGGGCCCGGGCGCATGCCCGCGCAGGCGTTCCGGTCCGTCCCGTCCCGATCCTGATCCTGATCCCCATCCCCATCCCCACCCGTCCCTTGCCAGCCTGGAACATATCCCTATCCCTATGCTGGGCACCTCCTTATCACGATGCCAATCCCAGGGATTCCCTTATTTCTTGAGGGCGAGTCCCTAAGATTGTCACATCGCCTTTTGGCGTGTCAATCTTGGGGATAGGGATACGTTCGAGGCTGGTAAGTCCCCATCCCCATCCCCATGCCGATCCCGATCCCCACCGTCCCGCCACACCTCAGTCGGGGACGTGCCCCCTCGGGGCTCGGCGGGAGCCGCCCCACCTTCGCCGAGAGCGCGGTGCACCACGACTCGCAGAGCGCCTGCTCGCAGACGCCCGAGAAGCGCATGTCTGTTTCGACGTAGTTTCTCGTAGATCCCCCGCGGCGGACCCAGGCCATTTGCGAGTAGGCACTTTGCGAGTCGTGAAGCGCGCTCGTCTACACATCCCCATCCATTGTCAGGAGGGAAAAAACACACACAGACACAATGAATCGTCGATTCCAAAGAAAGTATGCGAAAATATGGGAAGTGGGGGGGAAGACAGAAGCCCAGAAAATATATGGAAATATAGGGGGATTATTTCATTTGTGTATTTATTTGTGTGTCCTGGGCCCCTTCTTAGATCGAGGTCAGCTCGGGCAGGCTGCCCTGGTGTTCTTCGTGCTTGTTGGATGGTCTTCTGTTTCCCGGGGAGGGTACCTTTGAATGTCCTGGGTGTTTTGGCCATCGAACGGTCTCTTTGTTCTTGAAGGATGGTATTCTGCCCTGGGTCCAATTGCAATTGATGCTCCAGTTCAATGCTATTGGATCGTGGTGAGGGTGAGCCTACAGTGCATGGCAGGCCAACTCTCAGACGATCACAACAGGGCGAAGTGCCCGCAGTGGAGTCCAAGGAGACAGAGGATCCCAGCCAGCTGCCAACCAATGTGTAGGCCGAGGCTGGAGACAGAACACAACAAGGACTGCAAACGATGCTCCAGAACGTCCCAAAAACAGCGCACGTCAGCGTTGGTCTCGTCTCACGCCCCTGGCTTCTGTGGGCGCCCTCACCCCGAGTGAGGGCGAAAGGACGAGCATATCCATGAGACTGCAGCAACGAACCTTACAGTCGGGGCGCTGAGGAAGGAACCCTTTTCGTTGGGGAGGGGCTCGGTGTTCCTTAGTTGTTTTGTAGTTCGCCTTTGGTTTTGCTGAGGGTTTCGATGGGACATCGAAGTTTGACTTATGGGAACAAAGGAGCCTCGTTCCTTATGTATCGCTCCTTAGGTCAACGCCCCGACTGTACTGAATTGGGGCCGGGGGGGGGGAACAAAAAGCACAAAAACAGAACAGCGCACGTCAGCGTCGGGCAGCGCGCCTCGAGAGGACACGCCTTCCTCCCCCGTGCCGCGCGCGGGGGGCCGGGGGCCGGGCCCGCCGCCTTTCCCCCCCCCCCCCCCCTCCCGGAGGCCCCGCGGCGGCAGGCGCGCGAGGGCGCGGCGGCGGCCGCCGAGGCGGGCGGGGCGGACTCCAGCGACGAGGGGTCCTCGGGAGGGGACCAAAAGCACAGACACAATGCGTCGTCGATCTCCGAGGCGGGCGGGGCGGACTCCAGCGACGCGGGGTCCTCCGGGAGGGGAGCAAAAGCACACAGACACAGTGCGTCGTCGATGCCCGAGGATAAGATATGGGACACTATGGGAAGCAGGGGGGGAAGACGAAGACCCAGAGGATGCACGAAAATAGGGGGTCCTCGGGAGGGGAACTCAGAGCCCCGAATCATCCGGGGTAACTCGGGTCAGGGCGAACTCGGGTTCGTTTCTCGGGAATCCCAACCCGACTTACCCCAGACCCGAGTTACCCGGATAATTCGGGCGTCTGGAGCCCCACATCATCAGGGGTAACTCGGGTCAGGGCGAACTCGGGTTCGTTTTTTTCGGGAATCCCAACCCGAGTTACCCCGGACCCGAGTTACCCCGGATAACTCGGGCGCCCAAGGAAAAAAGCACACAGACACAATGCACCGTCGATATCCGAGGATGATATGGGAAGCTGTGGGAAGCAGGGGGGGAAGACGGAGACCCAGAGGATGCATGAACATAGGGGGGATCCTGTTGTTTGTGTGTCTACTTGTCTGTGTGTCCCAGGGCCCTTTCAGGTCCTCGGTACGACCGAAGTGGATACGATCATCCCGCATCAGAAGGACGAGCGGTAAGGATGCAAGGGCCTCGGAAGGCCACCTCGAAGCTTTCCGAGCGGGGCGCGGCCAGCGAAAGTGGCCAGGATGCAAGGTTGCCCCTTGGGAAGGTTGCCCATCCTTAGCATGCGGGCCGACTGCATTTCAAATTTCGTAATGAAAGGGAGGGGGTCACAACCCTCCCAGACGAACAGTTTTACACCATCCCCCCAGACCAGCCATGAACAAGCGGCCTTTTGCCCAGACCGCCCTGGAACCCTCCAAGACCGCTCAAATCAGACCCCCCCCCAATTCAGACCCCCTCCTTTCTATCATCTATTATGCAATCCAGGGTACGGAAAGAATGTGTACGACGACCGCAAGGAAGTCCTTGTCATTCTCAACATGGTTCGCTGTCGGCGCCGCCGCGGCCGTTGTCCATCTGAGACAGGAGCTCGGCTGCCCAACAGCGGCGGCTGGCGGTGTTGGACAAAATCTGTGGATGGGCATAGTACCGATGTGTTCCGTTCCCACTTCGGGCGCCCAAAGGTCTTTCTTCACCCACGACGAGCGGAAGAAGGCCCACGATGGCCTCGCCACTCATCTAGGCTTCCCAGATGCGGCCTGAGCAGAGGGGGGTAGATGGGGTAGGAGGATCGCACCGCGTCGCCGATGCATCGGCGATGCGACTCGGTGGGAAGACCGAGTCTCTCCGCGCCGACGGCGCCGATGCACCGGGGACGCGGCGCGATCCTCCGACCCCTGTCTGGCCGGACCCCAGCCGAGAGGCCCCGGAGTCTCGGGGTTGGACAGACCTCCTACCCTGACACGTCGATGAAGGAATTGGCCGTTTTCGGTTCGCGAGGGGGCGTCGCGGCCGTCATCTTTGCGGGTCCAGGTCCGTCGATTCCGGTCCCAGGCCGTTTTCACTAAGGGGAGGTCTACTAAAGGGAGGTTTGTCCACCGCCGATCCCCGTGCCCGCGCGCGCCCTCGGCGCAGCACTCGCCACCCGCCAAGTCCCCCCCCCAACCCCCACTCGAAGGCTCAGAGTTGCCCTCGGTTGCCAGTGGAGGGGCGGGGGGGGGGGGGAACATCGAAAAGACACACGTGCAACCCTTACCCCCCACCCACCAAGCCACTCCCCCACCCAGCCGAGAGCCGGCATGGCGGAGAGGAGCGCGCAGGGACAGCTGTGCTGCAGGCGTGCCGTCAGCCTGCCTGGCCCGCGGGAGCCCCCCACGAGGGGGGGGGGCCCCCCGCGGGCCCGTGGAGGGCCCCTTGCACGGAGGCCCCCCACGGGCCTGCGGGACCATGTCGTCACGTCGTCGGCGCTTGGGCGCAGTTTGACCGGTGCCCGGACATTTTGTTTGTTTTTCGACGAGGAGGGGGGGGATGACCAGGGGGGGGTGGATGTCATGGCGGGGGCCATGATATATCCCCAGATTTCATGGCGCCTCTTCTTGTTTCATTACGTCCCTGGCCCCCCCGCTGGGCCGCAGACATGCCGCCGGTCATGATTTGCACCCCCCCCTCTTGGACACCCCCCTCTTGGCCGCTTCCGAGACGGGGTCAATGCAAACGGGGGTCAGCCAGGGCGCCAGATCCTGCAGGATCCTGCGAAGACCCCCTCTGGCTGACCCGGGTTAGCGAGCCGCTCGTGGCCGCGGGGCGGCCGCGCCCATTGGCTGACCCGGGTTTGCGAAGATCTGCGTTGCAGCTTTGTTTTCCTGCATTGCAGTTTTTGGTTTTCTGCTGACCCGGGTCTGGATTGACCCGGGTCAGAAGATCCCCGATTCGTTCAAATCGCATGTAGTTTGGCAATTGTAAATGCGAAGATGCTTCGCCGCTTTCGGTGCCCGGACATGTTTCTTTTGTTTTTCGTTCAAATCGTATGTAGTTTGGCAGGTGTCAACACGAAGATGCTTCGCCGATTTCGGCTTCTGGGAGTCCTCACCAGGTTCAGGGACCGTCCAGAAACGGCTCAGGATGGAACGCCAGCCATGCTGAAAGGGTCGGGCGCTTCCAATGAAGCCCCTTGCTGCAAGAGGCGGGACATCAGACTTCTCCCTGGCTGGGCCGCCACCGCTCCGAGGCCCCCGTGCCAGATGCGCGACGATGACGGCGCCCCCGCGCTCGTCTGGCTGCTCCAGAGGGCCAGTGCTCTCCGGGAGAGGCGGCGCGAGGGCGCGAAGGTGATGATGGACGATGGCAGGGCGCGAGACGCGAGGGCTCGGGCCGGACGACAAGGCAGGAGATTACCAGCCTGGAACATATCCCTATCCCTATGCTGGGCACCTCCTCATCACGATGCCAATCTTAGGGATCCCCTTATTTTTGGAGGGTGACTCCCTAAGATTGTCATCGCCTTTTGGCGTGTCGATCTTAGGGATAGGGATACGTTCGAGGCTGGTAAGGAGAGGGCACGCCGGGGGCCACGACATGTGCTGTAAGCAGCCGGTTTCGGCCCCGCGTCGGGCGCGTTCCGCAATGCATTGGCGCCTCCGTCGCCCGGAGGCGCGTGGGTTCCCCAGCTTACCAGCCTGGAACATATCCCTATCCCTATGTTTGACATCACCTCACCTCGATGCCGATCTTAAGGATGCCCTCAGCTTCTGAGGGCCTATCCCTAAGATTGTCCTCGCTTTTTGCTCGCCCATCTTAGGGATAGGGATACGTTCGAGGCTGGTTGCCAGCCCGACTCGACAGGCTGCATGACCAGGGGGGTAATCGGGCATGCCTTCTCCAGCCTGTCAGGAGCCACCAGCGCGTCGCCAAAGCGGTGCAGGGGGGCAGCTTCTGGTGTGGCGTGGCCTGGATCTGTCCAGCTGTTATTGCCAGGAGGGGGTAGTAGATGCAGGCCCAAATACACAGGCTTCTAAGAACAGATCGGGGCATGTTAGCCAGCGTGGACCCCAATCAGTGTGTGCCCAGCAATCATGTTTTGCAATACGCGTGAAGCAATCGATGTGGTGCAACGTATGTGTTGCTATCTAGGTTGTGCAAACTTTGTGGTGCAGTATATGTGGTGCAACCTACATCGTGCAATATGTGTTGAGCAATATATGTGAAGCAACTTATGTGGAGCACTATATGTGGTACAATAAGAGTGGTGCAGTCTATTTGGTGCAGTATAAGAATCGTGAGCAGCTTACGTGGTGTAATATCTGTATATAAATATAGATATGAACATGTATATGCATGTATACATATGTGTGACACTATATATATGTATATATACACAGATCTGCTTTGCAAACCAGGTGGTGCAACCAATGGAATGCAATGCGCGACAACGCGCAACAATGCAAAGCCATACGAAGCAGTGCGGCGACGAGACGGGGGGCGACGACGCGGCGGCGTGACGGCGGCGGCGACGGGACGGCGACGGCGAGAACACAGCCGCTGGACCGACCCGCAAGCGCAGACGAGGGCCGGCGATGGAGGCGGCGACGGGGCGGAGACGGCGACGACGTAGCCGCCAGTCCGGCCCCCAGTCCCAGACGACGGGCGGCCCACGGAGCGGCGACGGCGGCTCGATAGCCGCGAGACCGACCCCCACGCCCAGGTGGTTATCCCCGACGCGAGGAGCTCCTGAGTGCGAGCGCTGTTTGGGGGGACGCTGGGAAACGGAGGGGCGGACGAACCTTCAGAAAGTAATGTCCACTGATCGGGGCCCTGGAATCTGTGTATACCTATGTATGCCTCCCCGGGCCCCCCTCTGTTGGCCCCCCTGCCCCTTATAGAGTGGCGTGACCAGCGCGGAAGAAGGCGTCCCTCTCCAAGGAGGAGGGCAGCGGCGAAGAGGCCTGGAGCAAGAAGAAGGTCCCCGAGGACTTCAAGATCTTCGTGGGGGACCTACCCTGGTCCGCGAGCGAGGACGAGGTCCGGGCGCAGTTTTCAACGTACGGGCCTTTCGCTCGCTTCGACATGCCCAAGCGGAATGGCCGTTCTGACGGCTCAGCATTTATCCAGTGGCTTCCAGCCAATCTTGCCACCAGGTTTGGATCATTTGGACCAGAGCCTTCCGGGAGGCCTTTTAGGGCCTCTTTGGGGGCAGACGGAGACTTGTTTGGAATCTTGAGGCCTCCTGAGGGCCTCTGTGTTGACCTTGGGGTCTCTCGGCGCCATCCTAAGGGGTACCGTAGGGGTCTCCAGCTCGGAAGCCGTCCTGCTCCGATGTTGAGGGCTTTGGGGGCCATCTTGGACACTCAAGACACAAATGCCGAGGATGGACATATCAAGCAAAGATGCCAGCCTTTTCAATGACTTGGGCCTCTTGATGTGGTCCCCAGTGCCCCCAAGATGGGCCAAGATAGCTCTAAGAGTTTCCAAGACTTGCCCCCCTGGGTCTCGGGAAGGGCCACAGGAGCACCTCAAGACTGCCCACGAGCGCCAAGGGGCGCAGACACTTCGTGAGTTGGGGTATGGGGCCTTAAGCATGAATATCCTTCGCAATGGCCCATGTCGAGAACTGGTGACCTGAGGACACTCCACTCTGTGCTCGCGGCACAGTGGTGGATTTATTATAAGACTCAAGCAGCCATGGAGAAAGCGCTGAAGATGGACGGGCAGTTTTTCGAGGGTCGCACGATTAAGGTCAAGCGCGCGACCGCTCAGAATCACAATAAAAAAGATGATAAGAACGTCGACAAGCATGCAGCACGGCAGAGGAAGGATCAGCTTACTGTGTTTATTGGTGGTCTTCCGTTTGGCACTGATCTAGTCGCTCTCAAGAAGGATTTCGAGGAGTGCGGTGAGGTTGAGTCCATCCGCACTTTGAATGACGACGCTGGCAAGTTCAAGGGCACAGCGTTTGTCGTGTACAAGTCGAGTGAAGCAGTCACGAAAGCCCTTGAGTGGCATGGGGCCGACTACGGAGGGCGCAAAATCATAGTGCGCAGAGCCGGCGAGGGCGTCAAAGGGGATGGCAAGGGGAAAGGCGCATTAGGGGTTGTCTGAAAGATGACCGTTTTCTTATTCATTGTTTTGCCCATCGGCGCGGGCCCTCGCATCCCCCTCCCTCACCCCCCCATGGAGTAGATCTCGGTTGTTTCGGGCGCCTGTTTCGAGCAGGTGGGGCTTCCCCCACAGGGCGCACTGCTGCAAACAGTCGCATTGAGCAGAGGCCAGGAGCCAGATCCCCCCCCTTCCCCCCTCTTTTCGCCCAATTTCGAAACGCCGAATAAGAAAACGGTCACGCGTGGACTTTGGGAGGCGATTGAGTTGTTGTGGGTTCCGGCATGCACCGCTGTTCGAAATTCGCCGTAGTCGCCCAGGTCAGATGTCTCGAGGAGTTGTGAAGTTTTCTCCATGTGGCTCCCTGGGGATTGTCAACAAGCGACGGAGCAGGAACAGCTGGTCCCACGACATACTCTGTGGTTCAGGACCCGTTGTCCGAGAACCCGTTTCGTTCATGCAGTGTTTCTTTTGCCATGGGGGATTCGAGAGGGTGACCTCCAGTCCGTATGGCGGTTGTTGCCAACGTTGTCTGGCAAGGGTGTTAGGTGCTTAGTGTTCAATCGACGGTGCTGTTGTTCCAGATTTCAGAAAGGGTCTTTTGAGGCAACGGCCCCCTCGAGAATAAGATGAGGAGGAGGGCTGCCGATGTCCCCAGGCGCTGGTTGGAACACCGACCACGACCGCACCGTCTTCGTGGGCTCACTGTCCCAGGAGATGATTCGGCCTTGGGTACGGTCGGACCGAGGTATGAGATCGAGGTCGGTTCGTGGAGGGTGCCCTACTGCTCTTCGTGCTTGTTGGATGTTGTTGTTCATCCTGGGGGAGGGCACCCTCGAGTGTTCTTCAGTTTGAGCCGGCGGGATTTCGCATATTCTTGAGGGATGATCTTCTGTCTTAGGCCACGACTGTATCCCTCGAAGTGGTGGCACCTCCCTCGTTGTCCCGGATCCCCCTCGTGCTCGGCCCCCTCTCCCCCCCCTGCGCTTCCGTGGCAGTTTTGGCCCAAAGCGTATGCACGGAGGGCCTCGTTCTTGTGAGTCATTGGCCATTGTTGATCCGCTACAGCGTTCCGTCAACCTCGGCGCTCCCGATCCTGCCGCGCAGCTGCGCAGTACAGGCTCGAATCATTCCTCCAGGTCTTCGGGGTAGGCCGTGCGCTGCCCAGGCTCATCCGTGCTGCTCGGCCCCAGGGGCACCAGAGAAGAGGAGGCTGTGGCTTGGAGGTGCAAGAAGTGCTGCTGCCAAGACGGAATGTGACAAGGTGCGGGAAGTGCTGCTGCCAAGTTCTCTGGTGAGCGTGGTATCCACGAGGTTGCTTCAGGAATGCCGCGCAGCCACCTCCCCCGGGCCGCTCTCGGAGGACCTCCTGCTGGGCCTGCCGGCGCCGGCAGGCACTCGGGCGCTGGCCCGGTCCTGTTCAGTCACGTCGCGGGTCTCGGGATGCAGCTGGCCCAAGGCGCTGGCGGTCGCTCCGACCCGCCCATGGAAGTCGACGCGGGGGAAACCATGGGTGACTGCACTGCCCGGAGCGAAAACTCCATGGGTTGGTCGGGCGTTGCGTAATAGGGGGGTCATAAATGGGGGGGTGGCGAGGGTGGTCCGAAAAGGTACCCAAACGGTGCCTAAACGAGCCCCCTGGGGCTCCAGAGGGGCCCGAAAGGGGCACGAAAGGGGACCGTTTCTGACCCCCCCATTTGTGACCCCCCCATGAAGCCACGCCCAAGTTGGGCAACATGGGTTGGGCAAGCATGCTGCATGCACGGAAAGGCGGGAGCAGCGGCTTTCAAGGACAGAGTTGCGGGCACCTGCTCCTGCGGCCCGAAGTTCCCGTGCGATGGCCCGAAGTCCGCCCTAGCGGCGCTCTCGCCTCGGCGCGCGAGCAGCGCACCGCCAGCGTCACCTGCACGCCGTGGCCAGCTTGAGAGCGAGCCGTGAGCATGTCTCAGCAGAAACAGGCTTTTTTGGATCAGATGGGGGGCTGGACGACATGGGCGAATCAAACGCGCGTTTGACGCAAGTCGACATCGCAGCGACGTCCCTGCAGATCGGGCCAGGTTGATTGTTGCCAGTTTCCGTCGAACGCGTGCGGAGCAAGGGTCCGACGGTCACAATGTGCCCTTGTGTAAGCAGTTGCTCGTCTCATGGAGGACTTTGCGGAGCTCACTCACACCTTCCACGTTGTGAATTCTTGTTATCCGTGTCGCGCCTCTGTCGACTCCCTCCCTCATCCTCCCTCATTCCCCATCTGTCGATCAGAACAATCGCAATGTGACAGGCACAGCACTTGGGCAACACAAGTTCTCGGAAACTACAAGGGGGAGCGACCACGGGGTGGGATTCTTGCCCGTTGCCGCCCAGCATTCGGGGATGTCTCACGCCAAACGCTGGGTGTTTGAGGTGGCCATTGTTTCCAAGGCGCCACGAAGAAAACGAATATTTGGACACCCCAAATAGAGGGGTGGCGCCAGAGGGTCGGACACTTGCCCGTTGGCGCCCAAATGGTTGGGACGTTCCTTGCGAACAGGTCGATTTTGGAAGCTAGGCATGCGTTTTTCAGGCCGTGGCAATCACTGTGTAGCAGTCATCACTTTGGGGCGCCGCAGGGGGGAGCCGCCAAGGGGTACATCACGGGTGCGTTCGCGCCCAGATGGCAAGGATATTGTAGTGGCCTCCGGCCAGTGCCGCCGATCCGGGACGCTTCCGTTGTTGCCGGAAGCGCACGATGGCGATCATGACCGGCGACGACGACGAGCGGCGAGGATGATGATGAGGATTGGGAATGGAGGCAGCGGAGTAGGAGGAGGAGGAGGAGGAGGACGAGGAGGAGGAGGAGGAGGACGAGGAGGAGGAAGAGGATCATGATGAGCTGGAGGGGGGTGGAAGGGGGGTGGAGGGTGGTGGATGGGGGGAGGGGCAGGAGTAGCCGGATGCTGAGGATGAGGAGGAGCAGGAGGAAACGGGAAGTGGAAGAGGGGGATTGGGAGAAAGAAGGGCGTGACGAGGATGGGGAAGCATTGGGGCCGGTTGGGTTTCTCGGGGGGGGTTTTGGATGCAGCTCGGAAGCCTCTCGAAGGCGTCTTGGATACATTGTCATTGTTTGAAGCTCTTGCGGGCCTTGAGAGGGCTTCGAGGGGCCTCTTCGGGGCCACTTGGGAACATCGTGGGGCCTCATTCGGGCCTCTTGGAGGCCTTTCAGGGCCTGCGGGGGGCTTCTTGGGCCGTGTTCGGCACTTTTTCCGCCGTGTTGGCGCCCTGTCAGGCGCCTCTTGGGCCCGTCCTGGGGCCCTCTTGCCCTTCTGGGGCCGTCTTGGGGCCCTTTTGGCGGTTCCTTGGGCCGTTTTGGAGCTCTCTTGGGCCGTCAGCGACGCTCTGAAGGCCCAGGACGCGAATATGCTACAATTGCATGTGTTTTTGAATATGTTTTGCTATTTGTTTTTTTGGTCGCCCTTTTCGGGGTTTCTGAGGGCATCTTGGAGGCTTCTGGAGCCGTGTTGGGGATATCTTGGGCGTGGTGTGGCGATCGTTCGGCGACTCGGGGTCCACTTGGCCCATGTTGCGGCCCTCCTGGGCGAGGGGGCCGTCCCGGAGTGAGCTGGAGTTCCGATTCCGCCCCGGGGATTAAATCGAAGCCCCTATCACCCCCCTATTTGCCGGGGTAGAGGGAGCCCCCTCTACCCCGGCAGAACCACCCCGGCACCCACCCCCCAGTGGAGCTGAAACTGAAGGATTGAGGCGCAGGCTGTTCTGAGGGTCTTTGAAGCTCACACGCAGGACCGGCAGATTTCAAATGAAACGCTGGTTTTGGGAATATCGACGCGTCTCTTTCCAGGGCCGCGCACTCGCCGCGACGACGTAGAACACATACGACTTGGGCACTACAAGGGTTAGCCGCCAGGGGGCAGGACACTTGCGCGTCAGTGCCCAGATTGTGGGGATATCCCACGCCATACGCTGGCTGTTGAGAGGTAGGCGTGTCTCTTTTCAGGACCGCGTGATCATTACGATGAAATGGCGGGTCGGATACCCATTGGCGCCCACCTCATGGGGATGCCTCAAGCGGATCTCTGGCTTTTATGATTCGATTGTATTTATTATTGTGAAGCGTTGCGTGGCCGCCGTGATGCAGCAGGCGTGGCATATGAGGACCGCAAGGAGGGAACCGCCAGGGGGTACATCACGGGCGCCGTCGCGTTCATATTGCGAGGATGTCTCGGCCCTCCCGGTTTCTTACATACCCGTCCACTTCCCGACGCTCGTAGAAAGGCGTCGTAAGGAAACCGGCGCGCTATCTGGACAATGGAAAGTAGCGTGGATGAGGTGGATCAGGGGGAGGAGGAGGAGGAGGAAACAGAAGAGGAGGAGGAGGAGGGGAAACCCACCGATGCATATATGAGAATCTCCCGTGTCGAAGAATGTCAACTGTGCAGCATGTCGCGCATGATTCGTTTCGTTCTTCAGAGGTTCTACCTTTGCGGACATTTGGCCTGCGCAGTCCATGCCCGTCTGAGTCTCTCCCCCCATCTTTCCAGCGCTTTCCCGCTTGTTGTTCGGGTCCGTTTTTTCCTTCTAGGCTCTTTTTGGTTCCCCAACATTTACGATGCCGCGCGGGTTTGTCTGGCCGCGTGGGCTTCGCGACGCGCTGCATTAAGCAAGGTGTCGTCCGCGGGGCCTGGTTTGCGGCGGGTTGGCTTGCGCCGCGTACCAAGTGCATATGGCGTTGCTCCAGTCCGTTGCGCTGCAGCCGCGCGATGGTGCGTTGCAGCGCGTTCTTTCCATCCTCCTCGCGCATATCTTTTCTGCTTCGTCCCCCCCCCCTCGCTTTTCGTCGACGGATGGGCGTGGGATGGCGCCCCTTCTTTCCCATCCCCCCGCCTCTCCCGCGGTGGCGCCGACAGCGCTCCGAACTCAGTCTGAAGCTATCCGAGCCAAGCTTCGGAGGCCGACGGGGGCGGGAGGCCTGACACTGCAACCATGCCTTGCGGGGAGGGGAGGGGTATCTTTGCTGCTCCTCCTCTTCCTGGCTCGTCCGTTCCCTTTCCTCCCTCCTCACCAACGCTGCCTTGCCATTCAACATTCAACATCTTTGTATGCACGCCTTGCCCCGCGCTTTGGCGCCCAGGTCGCGAGGAACTCGCAAGCGACAGCGCCGAGACTTTTGGTTGTGTGGTTGGGTTGGTTGGTCGCCTGGGTCACTGCCACCGTCGCTTCCGAGTAACCATGCACTGGCAAGGTGCGCGCCGTTTCCTTTGAATTTTTTCGCCCGCACCGTGAGGACGTCTCGGATGGTGCTTTTGTGTTTGCTGGTTGGATGATTGGTTGGTTCGGTGGGCCCGGCCCTCGCCCGACTACTTGGCAGCCGGGGCCGTCTCCCCGAGTGGGCGACATACGTGATGTTCACTGCGCCTGAAATGTTTACCGGTCTGGCGGCGTTCGTGCAGCGCGTGCCCGGTGGCGCACCAGATCAGCCACCGCGCGGGGCGCGCACTCCCTGCTGCCTGGGCAGCACAGGCAGCGCTGCGGTTCATACATATCGCCCGCGGCCTGTGCGTTTGGCGCTGCCCGCTCGTCCCGTCCAGCCCTCTGAAAAAAAGGGGGTCGCCCGTGCCTTCCGCGCGGCCCACGCGGCCTCGCCAGTCCGACACGGCCCCCCGCCCCGCATCCCCTGCGGATCGCGCGGCCCGTGTGGATTGCACGGCCTTTTTTTTGCGTTTCGCGCAAATCCTGCGGCCTTCGTGGCGCGTGCAGCTCCCGCGTCCCGCGCGCGCCACCGTCCGCGCGCGGGCGTCGCCCCCCGTCACCATGCCCCGCGCCCTCGCGGCGAGGGCGTCGCCTGCACGCGGGCCACGATCTGAGTTGCGCAGTCCGTCCCCATTGTTTTGGTTTTCTGTTTCCTCTTCTTCCCAGGCGTTCTCCAGTTTGTTGCTTGGGTCCTCGTTTTCCCCATGTGTTCTCTGTTGTTCCTCCGCCTTGCCGTTGCCGCGCGGATTTGGCTGGTCGTTTGTGGTAGTCGGGGCGCGCTGCAGTTAGCATCGCTTCGTCCGCCAGGCCTCGCCTGCGGCGGGTTGATCCGTGCTGCGTTCCAGACGCCATCGGGCGTCCCTCCACCGCGCGATGCGCTTTAGCCGCGTCTCGGTGCGTTGCAGCGTGTTTTTTCCCTTTCCTTCCTTCCCCTCCTGCGAGCCATCATTTCTTGCCCGGCTCTTCCCCCCGCTTCGCTTTCTGTTTTCGGATGGGCGCCCGCGTGGACCTCCGAACATCGATGTTGATATCATTCTCTGTTCCCCGAAGACATACGCCCCCCTGTCTCCTATCGTCCTCTTCCTTTCCCCCTTCCTCCTCTTCCTCCTCGTCCCCTTCCCCGTCCAGGACCACCTCCTGATCCTCCTCGCCCTTTTCCTGCTGCTGCTGCTCCTCCTCCTCCTCCTCCTCCTCCTCCTCCTCCTCTTTCTCTTCCTCCGCCGCCTCCTCTTCTCATCTTCTCCCTCCTCCTCCTCCTCCCCCGCCTCCTCCTCCTCCTCCTCTTCCTCCTCCTCATCCTCCTCTTTCTCCTCCTCCTCCTCCTCCCCCTCCTCCTCCTTCCGTGCTCCCTCCCTGCCGCCCTGCTGCAGCCCGAGGAGCTGGGGGCGGAGCAGCTGGAGAGTGATGCGGGAGGCTGACGCTCTCCCCGCCGCCCCGGGGCCCAGTGCGCGCGCGGCACGCGTCGACCGTGCAGCTTCGGGCCCGCTTGTGATCGGTCTCACGTCGCCGGCGGCCTCGGCGGCGAGGAGGAGCAGGATTGCGGCGGCATCTTCCGCCTCCTCCTCCCTCCTCCTCCTCCTCCGCCTCCTCCCCTCCCCCCCTCCTCCTCCCTCTCCTCCGCCTCCCTCCTCCTCTCCTCCTCCGCCTCCTCCCTCCTCCCTCCTCCTCCTCCTCCTCCTCCTCCTCCTCCTCCTCCTCCTCCTCCTCCTCCTCCTCGAGCGGTGGCGAGGCGCCCACTTGGCTTCTGGGCCTCCTAGATGGGGTCGGAGTAGATGGGGTCGGAGGATCGCGCCGCATCGCCGATGCACCAGTGATGCTGCTCGATGCAGGCGTCGCCGATGCACCGCCCACGTCGCCGATGCATCGTCGATGCATCGCCGATGAACGAAAGGTTGTTCTCAGAACACTTCTGGCTGGTATTGTCTTGTATTAACATACGAGTTTATGTTACATGAACAGCGCTTCGTTCTTGGACAATGATTGGGTTCTAAGAACATGTTGAGGTAGGCCTAACAGAATGCCGGGACGGTCGGTCCCTGTTCAACCACCCTCGCCGATCAGCGATTCAGGGAATCCGATAGGCGGGGGGGACATGGCTCGGAATTCAATGGCGCCCTCGAGGGCGCCAAGTTATTCGCGCTTCGCGGTTCGGCTCCGCTTCCTCCCCATCCTTCTCTTCTCCCCTGGGGGGGGACGGCGCGAGGGCGCGAAGTCATTCGCGCGTCGCGCTGCGCGCAGCGCGAAGATAGGCGCCGATGGGAGTTCGTCGAGCACGTGGCGAAGTCCGAACCCTTGCCCCCGCCTCACATGGATTCGGGAGAGTCGATGCTTGGCGAGGGTCGTATTCGGCAAGCCGTCGGCGGGCGCAACCTCCTGAGCAGGGCTCGAGCCCGACGGTGTTTTTTTTTCGATGTCGTGGACTGCTTTCGTGTTGCGTCCGTTTTGCAGCAAAGGTTCAGGAGGGAAAACATCACACAGACACAATTCATCGTCGATTCCCCAGAAGATGTGGAACGATATGGGAAGTGGACGACAGCAACCCAGAACATATGGGAGAGTATGGGGGATATTTTGATGTGTGTGTGTACACCTTAGGCGATGCTTAAGAAAACCCAAGTTTTCGGCCAGAGTCTCGACTATTCTTAATGTTTCAATGTAAATCCTAAGGTTTTGATATGATGTTTGGGTATTTATTCAAGTTCTGAGACTATGAATTTCTTAACCCATGATTTCTTAAGCATTTCGCAGGGTGTATTTATTTGTGTGTCACAGGGCCCCTTCAAAGGCGGAACGGCGACAGGGCGAGGGAACCCGAAAGCCAACAGCGAAAGCCAGCAGCGCGGTCCAGCTCGAGCCCTGGGCGGCCGCAGCCTCCCGAAGACGCACTGGGCCCTCGGGTGGGGACGCGGCCTCGGCCCCCCTGAGGACGCGGCCTCCTCGGGACGCGACCTCCCAGGGGGGGGGAGGAGGAGGAGGAGGAGGAGGAGGAGGAGGAGGAGGAGGAGGAGGAGGAGGAGGAGGAGGAGGAGGAGGAGGAGGAGGAGGAGGAGGAGGAGGAGGAGGAGGAGGAGGGGGAGGGGGAGGAGGAGGGAGGAGGGGGAGGGGGAGGAGGAGGAGGAGGAGGAGGGGAAGGAGGAGGAGGAGGAGGAGAGGAGGAGGAGGAGGAGGAGAGGAGGAGGAGGAGGAGGAGGAGGGTGGGAGAAGGAGGAGGAGGAGGAGGAGGAGGAGGAGGAGGAGGAGGGGGAGGAGGAGGAGAAGGAGGAGGAGGGGGGGGGGCGCGCGGGGGGGGGGGGCGCGCACTCCCCAGGCCGCGACCGCGGGCGGGGCCCTGCCCCTCGAGGGCGCGGGAGCCGCTCGGGAGGGGCCGCGAGCCGCTCCGGGGCCGCTCGGGAAGCGGCTCGCTCCCCGGCTGCGTGGGCGGAGCCGTCGCCCGACAGAGCTGCCATCTGGTTTTGGCCGTGCTGTCCTCCGCCTTCCTCCTTCCTCCCTCCTCCTCGCTCCTCGCGCCTCGCTCCCTCGCTCCCTCGCTCCCTCGCTCCTCGCTCGCTCCTCCCCTCCTCTCCTCCTCCTCCTCCTCCTCCTCCTCTCTCCTCCTCCCTCCTCCGCTCCTCCTCTCTTCCTCCTCCTCCTCCTCCTGTTCCTCCTCGCTCCTCCTCGCTCCTCATCCTCTCCTTCTCCTCCTCCTCCTCCCCCTCTTCCTCCTCGCTCCTCCTCCTCGCTCCTCTTCCTCCTCGCTCCTCCTCCTCCTCCTCCTCCTCCTCCTCCTCCTCCTCCTCCTCCTCCTCCTCCTCCTCCTGTGCCACTCGCTTTCCGTCATTTCCTCACCGCCCGCAACTTTGCGCGCGCTCTGGTGGACAGTGGCCCTGCCCTCGGGGCGAGGGTGCAGCGGACTTCGCAGAGTGCGGCCCCATCGACAAGGTCAGGATTGTCAAGGACAGCTCGGGCCAGTCCAAGGTCCGAGGCATGGACTTTTGAGTGTCGACCCTCTGGGGAACCGATCTTTCTGGAGCTCGGGATGCGGTCAATACGGAGAATTTCGGGCTGGTCTGTTGGAGCACACATAGACCCTGAGAGATCGTTCCCCGAGGCGGTGGGAATGTATGGACCCCTGCCCCACGCAAGGGTGCTGCCTTCATCGTCTTCAAGTCGGCCAGCGGCGCGAAGCGAGCGCTGGAGTGGGACGGTCATCGCCTTGAGGGTTTGTTTGTCGTTGAGGGGACGAAGGGCATGCGGCATGGGCAGATCCAAGGGCAACTTGCAGGAGGAGGAGGAGAAAGCTTAGGAGGAGGATGTCGTCAGGGAACCGGAGGAGGAGGAGGAGGAGGAGGAGGAGGAGGAGGAGGAGGAGGAGGAAGAGGAGGAGGAGGAGGAGGACGACAAGGAGACAGGATGAGGAGACGGGATGAGATGACGGACGAGGGAGGCTGGATGAGATGACGGACGAGGGAGGCGGGATGGTAGGAGGGAGCAAGGGGAGGGTGAGGGTGGGGGGGCGGGAGGAGGGAAGAGGGGGCTTGGAGCACGGAGGACGGGACAGGAAGAAGGAAGGAGGGAGTGGAGCATGATGAGAGCGGAAGGCTGAAGGAGGGTCGAAGGGAGAAGGGAGTGGCCAGGAAGTGGGAGCGAGGAGTGAATGGGGGTTGAAGGGGAGGGACGGGTGCAGGCGGGGGGGGAGAGTGAGGAAGAAGGGCAGGCGTGTTGAGGGAGATGTTGACGATGACGATGACGATGACGATGACGATGCCGTCATCGTCGTTATCATCATCGTCATCGTCATTGCCATCGTCATCGTCATCGTCATCATCAGGGTTGAGGGAGTCAGGCGGGTTGAGGGATGCATGAGGAGCAACGAGGGACCATCGAGCTGCGAGAAGCCATGAGGGAGGAGCGAGGGAGAGATACGGGTGGATGAGGACCTTGGGGCAATGAGGAGGGATCAGGCCGAGGGGATCGCTGAGGTTTGGGGAGCAGGGAGGCAGAGGCCAGGGCGCAGGGGCATCGGGAGAGGGGAGGAGCCCGATGAAAGAGGGAAGAGGTAAGTGCGTGGGTCTTGAGAGGAGGAGGGCGAGGAGGAGGAGGAGGAGGAGAAGGAGGAGGAACATGAGGAGGAGTAGAGAGGAGGAGGAGGAGGAGGAGGAGGAGGAGGAGGAGGAGGAAGAGGAGGAGGAGGGAAGAGGAGTAGAGAGAGGCTACAGTGGGCTGCGCTCAGGGGGAACAAATTTACGCAGCGACACCTGAGGATCGGAGCTTGCGACACATTGGGCCGCATCAGTTTAACACGCGTATGGCCGCCTCGAACACAATAGCGCTGCCTTCTGCAGCTCAGCTCGCTGCAGGTGTCTGAATGGTCATTCCACTGCTCCGTGATCGCCTCTGCCCGTTTTTTTATGTTTTATCGAGGACGCCAGTGACGCATCACCGGCCGCTCCCTGGGAGCTTGGACATTGGCGCGCAGCATCGAGAGTCGTGACGCAGCGTGCCTGCCAGTTGTCATTGCTTGGGGTTGCTGATAGGTTCTCTGCAGTGTATCTAGTGGCCTTCGGCCCATTCCGACACCATGCCCAGGTTTTACAGTCGGGGCCCTGAAGAAGGAACCCCTTTCGTTGGGGAGGGGCTCCGTGTTCCTTGATTGTTTCGCAGCTTGCCTTAGGTTTTCCTTAGGTTTTCGATACGAAATCGAAGTTTAACTTATGGAAAATAGGGGCCTCGTTCCTTATTCAGGGTTCCTTAGGTCAACGCCTCGACTGTAGGTCAGCGGCCGTCTGAATGCATTTGGGAATCCATGGGAGGGCCTTTCGGGAGCCTCTCGCGGGTGGTTCTGGAAATGCCTCGGGGTCTCTCCGGGCATCTTGGGGGCCTCGAGGGGCCTGTTTTGGGGCCGCCTGGGGGCCCCCCCTGGGGGGGGGCCCTGGCAGCTCCCAGGAGAGACTTCTGGGGGCTGCCAAGGGGAGAGGCCTCTGGGGGGGCCCCTGGAGGCCCTTGGCAGCAGTCTCGGGTGTCACACCTCGGGGCGGAGAACGCGGGATGTCGCCTCGAGCTCCCCCTCGTTGGGACCCTCTTGGGGCCCTCCTGGGGCCGACGCGCGGCCGCACTTCTTGGGGAGGGCGCCTCGGCCACCAGGGCAGACGCTCCCTCGGAGGCGGTGTCCTCGCCGTGGGTTTACCGCGGTGCCGGCTTCGTCCACTTGGGAGCGGGGCGCAGGGTTTGCCGTGGGTGTTTGCCGTGGTGTCGGCGTCGTCCACCTGGGCGCGCCGAGCACAAGTGGGGCGACAGATTCTCGGTCTCAGAGGGCCTCCTGTGCCCCTCCTGGGTCGCCTGGGGGCTCTCTCTCTTACGGGGCCTCCTTGGGGCTGCCTGGAAGCGACCTCGGAGGCGCCTTGGGCCGTCCGGGAGTGTGTCGGGAGCCCGGGAGGGCGAGAACACTGAAATCTGTCAAAAGCCATGGGGGGAATCGGTGTTGTCGGCCACTCGGGCCCCTCAATGGGAGTCCTCGTGGAGGCCTCTGGGACCATCTTGGAGGCCTCCTGAGTCATCTTCAGGCTCTGCTGGGCCGTCCCCGGGCATTCGTGGGTCGTGCCGCTGCTCTTTGGGACCATCTGGAGCCGCCTCGGGGCCGTCACGCAAGTCTTGCTCATGTTGTTGTTTCAAGTGTTGTTCCCGCTGAAGCGCTGGTTTCATATCCGCGCTTCCGCTCGTTCCGGATCGTGCTCCCGCTGCATCGCTGGCCTCATGTCCGCGCTTCCGCTCGTTCCGAATCGTGCTCCCGCTGCAGAGTTGGACTCACTTCCGCGCTTCCGCTCGTTCCGAATCGTGCTCCCGCTGCAGCGCTGACCTCATTGCTTCCAGTGCCATGCCCGTGCTGTGGCCCTCCGGGCCGTCTCGGGGCCGTCTTGGGGCAGTGGTGGGCCTTCTCTCCCGGGAGGGCTCTGCGAGGGCCGGCCGGCGGAGCGGGACCTCCTCGGATTGCTTTTTGGTGAGGTGTTGACCCGGCACGTGGCGCATCGGTTGCGGCCGAGGCGAAGGACCCAGCCATATGCAGCTGTCAACACCGCAGTTCTGAATATCATCTTCGCCCGCGCTCCCTATGGGGCCACGGACCGTGTGAGGAGCGTACGGAAATGCGCGGCGGGGCACACGACGCTACCGAAGACGATAGGTCTGTGTGCGAGAGACTGAGGGCGGGTGCGTGTGAGCGCGAGTGCGTCAGATTGTGACTGAGTCAGCTCGCCCGTGAGTCTACATGCGTAGATGTCGACGCCCATGTCGGCACGCCCCTCACCAGGATCGGGCCCGCTTCCTTCCCGTTTTTTATTTTCCCCCTCTTTGCCCACGCGCGCCGATGTCCAAGGCTGCGGGCGCGGCGCCGCGCGGAGTCCCCGCGACGCGCGCTGGTCGCCCCGAAGGGGTCCCGGCGACGCGCGCGGGTCGTCCGCTGTGCGGAGCAGAGAGAGTTTGCAGGCTGGCCGAAAGCGGGCAAGTCTTTGGCCGCTGGGCAGAGCGACGACGGGGGTGAGCGAGGCGCCGGGCAGAGCGCAGCATGGAGTTCCCGCGACGCGCGCTGGTCGCCCCGAGAGGGTCCCAGCGACTCGCGCGGGTCGCCCGCGGCGCGAGGCCAAGCAGTCAGACCGTCGAGAGATGACGAGGCTCGGGCTGGTCGCTCCTCGGGTCAAGCCTCGCAGATAAACTCGGTGAAGCCCAGCTCCTTGGCGAGGTCGGTGAAGCCCAGCTCCCTGGCGAGGGCCGTCGCCTCCCTTCTGCGCCGCTTCGTGCGCGCAGCAAACTGCTCCAGCTGTTTCCGCGAGCCCTCCGGCGGCCCTGCCAGGAAGAACTCGATGCGCGGCGCCCGCATGAGCAGGAGATTTTCGAGGCGCGTGGCGCGCGAGAGCAGCGCGTAGAGCTCCGGCCACCAGTCGTCGTCCTCCTTGCCGTTCCCGAATTCGTGGCGGCCGCAGTCCAGGATCACGCCTGGGCGATGTCGGCCGAGGGAGCAGTGCGCCGGACAGAAGACGGCCCAGGGCGAGAGTCCACGGGGCCAGGAAAAATATGGCGGCGGGGCAGCGCGGTCTGCGTCAGTGGGACCTAAGTTGGACTTCCCTATGGGGCCACGAAGCGTGTGAGGGGCGTGCCGAAATGAGGCGGCGCCGCCATGCGAGCTGCGCCACTGGGACTTTAGCTGCAGCTCGTTGCCGGGACACGAACGCGTGAGGGGTGTGCCAGAATTGGGCGGCGCCGCCATGCCAGCTGCGCCACTGGGACCTTCGCTGCAGCTCCTTACGGGGGCACGAACGCGTGACGGGTGTGCCAGGGCGGGGCGTCGTGGGGCCATCCTGGGGCCTCGCCAGGCCAGCCTGCGGGATTGGGGCGGCATCCTCGGACCTGTCGGGGCCGCCCTGGGGCCGTTTTGGGCAAGCTCGGGCGCTCTGGGGGCAGCCCTGAAGCGATTTTTGGACATTTGGGGGGGATCAAACTTGGGGCAGGGATGAAGAATTGAAAGCGGCATTCGGCTTTATATTTGTCACCCTTTCGGGGGCGTCTTGGGGCCCGCCCAGACCGTCTCGAAACATCCTGGACCAGCCTTGGCCGTCCTGCTTTCTCAGAACCCTCTTCGGAGCCTCCCCGGGCCGTCCTCGAGGCCTCTTTGTGCAGTCCTGACTCCAGGCCGCGCGGTGGCGCTCAAGGGGGATTCTGGGGCAGCCTGGACGGGCCACGCGTTCGATGGACCCCGCCCAGATCTGTGGTGGCGCCCCGAAACCCTTAGCAGGCAGTGGTATTGAGGGCAGGACTGGACAGGCAAAGGGAATAGGCAACACTACGAACACAGTGCTGCAGCCCAGCAGAGAGTACTTCACAGCCTGGCTCCCCCGACGGGGCTGGCAGATTTGGTACAGTCTCGACGGAAGGATGTGGACGTGGGGCGAACACACGTTGCTCACATTGCCCAGAATTTGCGTCCAGGATGTCCTGTTTTTGTTTGAACGCTGTGATCCGGGAAATTGCTAGGTGCCCGTGCGTCGGCCGCAGAACTCCCGTCGACACCCGGCATGTGTTGCTCATTCTTGGCGTCCTTGCATTGAGTCCACTGCGGTCCCTTCACCCGAGGCGAGTACTATGGAGACCGCAAGGTCAAGGTGTCGATGGCGCAGGTCAAGGATAAGGGCGACGGCAAGGGCAAGTCATAGGTCCTGCGCCTGTGCGGCACGGACGTCTTTGGCCCACGTGGCAGCTGCAGAGAGCGGGGGTCGGAGGTCGCGTCGCGTTCACTCCGCGTGCGCTCCCGCCTGGACGCCAGAGCCTCTGCCCCGCGCAGCGCCGCGGCGGAGCGCGGCCACGGCTGCGGCTGCGGGTCGCAGTGCACTGGCGGAAGGATTCGCCTGCAGCGCCGCTGGAGAAGCAAGAGGACCGCGCAGAGCTCCCAGTGCCCAAGTTCAGAGCCAGTGTAAGCAGAAGTCTGGTCTCGCTCGCTGCCGCTGCACTGCGCACGGCATCCAGCTGCGAACGGATCCACGAGGCATTTGCGTTTCGGATTGTCCTCGGTGAGTGGGTCGGCGAGGAACAGGGAAGGGATGAGGAGGAGGAAGAGGAGGAGCAGGCGCAGGAGGAGGAGGAAGATTAGCAAAGTGCGTGGACGGGCAGGCGGAACGTGGATCTAATCAGCGATCGTGGACGAGGTGCATGGTGTGCATGGGGTGTTTTTTGCTTCTGTTGCGTCTGATGTTCGATGCGTGTTGCGAGTTTGGCGTGCTTCCTCAGTCCACCTTACCTACTGATCCTCCTTCCGGGTGTTGTCATGGAGCGTAAATGCTACATTGTTCAGTGTGGATCACACCGGTCGTGTTTTCGGGCGTGCAGGGAATACCCTGGATGCCGACAATTTGGCCGACAAATTGCTCAGTTCCATGCTTGCTCACATGATATTGTGGTGCCACCTTGTGCCTGCGCTGGAACCGACGCGCGCGCGAAGCGCGCACCTGGTTCTAGTGCGACGGATTGACAGAACAGCTCCCTCCATGTACGACATCGTTGTACCTCGTCTTCAGCCATTTGATGTCCCGCTCGCCATCCACCATCACAGAAGTAAGCGACAGTTTATCCGATCCTTCCTCTCGGCATGCCAGTTCCTTTTTAACGATTTCCACATCGCCTCGTCTTTGATCCAGGTTTCCCCTGAACCCTCCGCAGTAAAAATGAGTGTGCCCATCAAGGGCACCATTGGGCATAAGCTTAAACTGCTGGTCACGTGGCCCAGTGCGCGCGCTGAGCTTTCCGGCTGGCGATGGTCGGCTCTGCCAGCGCCCTGGGACGGGCGGCGCTTGCGCGGAGCTTGCATGGCCGCCGACGGGCAGCAGTGCTTTTACGATCTCCTGGACGGGAGGGCTTGGTTGACGGACGGGCCTTCTTGTTCACCGTTGTCGTTTCATGATGCTTGGCGGAAGGAGCCAGTTGTTCGACTTGGTTTACGCTGTTCCAACCTACTCTTCAGCCTGGATCACCAGAAACAATTTCGAGCACTAGAAAATACCCAAACACTTTTGGGTTTTCACGCGTCGGGCCCTGGGAGACACTCTTTCAACACTCGTTCGGCACTCGAAATTATTTTTGGTATGTGGTCCTTGAATGCGATGGGAGCAACATAAGATTTGGTATCGTTCGGCAAGAACGATCGAGGAGCATGCCGGGTCATCCTGCGAAAGCGTACATGCACGAAGCGCCGAACTATGCATGGGGAATGGACGTTCGAGCGATATGGCGAGATGGAATTCGGGATCGCATGAGCTCTGGTGTTTGTCTGCGTCAGAGGTTGATTGACCTCCTACCCTGACACGTCTATTAGTGAATTGGCCGTTTTCGGTTCGCGAGAGGGTGTCACGGCCGTGATTCTTGCAGGTCCATGTCCGTTGGTTTCGGTCCTGGGCCGTTTTCATTAAAGGTGGTTTACTAAAGGGAGTTTTGTCCACCGCCGACTGCGCCCGAGCCGAGGTCATCAGTGCGGAGCGGGGAAGTCGTGTGGCAGCCCTCGCTAGATTGGGCCAGCCCGGGCGCTCAGTTCCCATGCATGCAACAAACAATCTGATTGCCGAGGCAGCAACATAGGTGACACACAAGACATGGCGTGGGTCTGAATGCCCACAGGCTCATAGGACGCAGCAGCCATCAGGACGTCAGCAGCATTATCACGAGCAAAGCGAGACAAGGGCCTGATGAGCGTGCCAATGATTACTTTGCTCATTCGACTTGGCGGTCCCACGCGGTGTGTGCTGATCGCGTGTTTGTTGAACGCGTTATCGATGATGCCCGATCTTGTGGCATGCTGATGTGATGGCAGCATCGGTTTGGTATATCGAATGGCCTTCTGCCCATCCCGCCACCGTGCCTGGCTTGTGGCTCAGAGTCCTTAGGGATGCTTCTTGCGTCTCTTCGGATGGCTCTCGGGGGCCAATTTGGGAAGTAGTTAGTCTCTTGGGAGCCTCTTGGGGCCCTCTTGCGGCCTCTTTGAGGCCTCTTGGGGCCTCTTAGGGGCTTCTTGGGGCCTCCTGATGGTGGCGTCTTGGTGCCGAAGGCTGGACATGTCCGTTTGGGTTCCCCCATGTGGGCCTCCTCTTGAGGCCGTCCTGGGGCCGTCTTGGGGTTTTATCGGACCGTCTTGGGGCCCTCTTGGGCGGACTTGGAGCCATCTTGGGGGCATCTTGGGCCGTGTTGGGGCGATCTGGGGGGCCTCTGGGGCCGTCTTGAACGTTGTGAAAGCCCAAGAGGCGAATATGGTGAATCTATATATATATATATATATATATATATATATATATGTCTTCTTCAAGGAATCGGACGGCTTTTGCATGTTGGGGCCTTTTGAAATCCTATTGGAGCGTCTTGGAGGCGTCTTGGGCCGTCCAGAGGCGCTCCTTAACCGTCTTGGGCGCTTGGTGGGGGACTCCACGAAGTTCTCTTGGTCGTTCGGGGCGTTGCACCGTCTCGGAGGCCCATGCGGAACACCCCAAGAGCGCCGAAGAGCGCCCGAAAGCGCCCGGGTAATTGGTGGTCCGGGCTCTTACGGAGCTACAAACTTGGCTGCATCAGCAGCAGCAGCACCGCTGTGAGCCTTGGGAAACTCCACTTCGTGCCAGAGGCACAGTGGCGGATCTACGAGTGTGGTTCCCATGAGCTATGTTTCTAGCATTCGTGGAGGTTGTGTCTGTTTCGACCTTCGCGACCGACAACCGATTTCAGAACTAGATGTTGTGACCGCCCGAGCACCGTGGTTCCATCACTCATGCTTATCCCTTCCGCCGTCGCATCAGACTCTTGTTTATTCCCCTCACCCGATTCACCCCCATCCAGCCGTTACCAGTCATTCAGCTTGTCCCTCGCCATCCGTCTTCATTCATCTATGTTATCTAATTCCTCCGTCCTCTCGGTTGCTCTCGCATCGTCTTCCTTATCAGTATTCTCATCAAGCGCACTCGAGATGATCTCGTTCAAATGAATTGTTGTGCAGTTGGTAGACAATACGTTGTGTGTGTGTGTGGAAACGCATATTCATCCGCATCGACCTCTCCTACATCGTCCTCGTCGATACTATCTTCATTCCCCCCCTCCGCCCGCCCTCCTAATCCCTTGGCGTTCGTCTCCCATCCCCCTCTTCCGCATCCACATCCTTCTCAACATTCTCGCCTCACCCGTCTCGCCATCCTTAATATTCGAGCCAGCTCATCATCCATATCGCCCCGTCCGTCTCCTCATCGTCATCTTCATGATATATTATATACTCTCCCTCATCCCCCATCTCTTATCCTCGTTGGTTTCCCTCCGTCATCCCTCCTCTTGCCCCATCCCTCTTCCGCCTGTCTTCCTCCCCATCCGTCTCCATCAACGGGATCCTCCTGATGATCCCCCTCCTTCGTCACTCGCCCTCCCTCCTTTTCTGCCCTCATCCCTCCTCAAGCTCCGTCACTCCTCTCTCATACCCTTGACGTTTCCCCCTCAGTGCTCTCATCTCTCCTCTTTTCACAGCCATTTTTATTCGTCCTCCCTCCTCATCTTGCTCATTTGCATCGTCCGTTCTTATTCCCCAAATCGCCCATCTCATCACCACTAACTACCACTTCGTCGTTCCAGTTTGAACCATCGTCATCGCGCATGCATTGAGACGGTACCATTACGCTGATGAGCGGAGCCATTGTCTATCATCGGATGGCATGATCGATGCATTCCCAGCGACATCATGTGATGGTAGTGGGACAGTTGCGCCCGGCTTTGCACAGACTTGCCGGGCATACATATTTATATATATACATATATGCGCATGCTATTTCATTGTATGTCACGGGGGGTGGCGTCCGATACCAGTCGTGTCTGCATTTTACGTTGCCATAATCATCACTTGGTATACACCTGTCTGCGACAAGTGCCGCAACAGTGCCAGCGGAGCGTCGACATGTGCGGCTTGTGCGTTGTTGATTGAGCTCTCACGAGCAGGCTCGGTAGAACCAATTTCGGACCTCGTGGGATCAACGCCACAATGTTGTAACGTGGAGTGACCGTGGCGTTGCATGAGTTGCGTGGCCCATTGGAAGTGACATGTGGTTCAGTGTGCGCTTTTGGGGCGGCATAGTGGGGCCCTGTTGAGGGCCTTCCCAGTGGCTTTGGAAGGGCTTCTCGGGACCTTGTTGGCGGTATTGGAGTCGTCCTGGGCCAGATTGGTTTTACTTTTTTCCCAGAGAGGTTCGGCAGAGTCATCTTGAGGGGCCATGTGTTTGGGGGTTGATCACGGGTTGGGATAATCTCACACGCCTGATGGCCCCGATATGGTCGAGGACGTAGAACGACAAATGGAGGGGAGGGCGTGTCCCGCGATGCGTCGCAGAGAGACATCGAGAAGGCGTGGAAGCAGCAGGCTTGCTTGTGCCAGGGGAAGGGTGGTCTCGGCAGTTGGAAGGCGTGCGAATTCCCATGTTGCGCTCGGGGCCATAATTCTGGAGTGTCGAGAGGAGCGCACCCGACTGCACGAGAGAAGCTGGACCGCTCCGAGTCAGAAGCGTTCCTTGGGCCAGCGTCGAGGGTGCAAAGATGAACGCGCTTCAGACTCCCCCTTTCCCCTCCCACGCCCTTCTCCCCCTTTCCCCTCCCTCCCCCTTCCCCTCCCTCCCTCCCCCTTCCCCTTTCCCCTCCCTTTCCCCTGCCTCCCCCTTTCCCCTCCCTCCCTCCCCCTTCCCACGCCCTTCTCCCTCCTCTGCTCCTCGGGGGGCGGGGGGCGCACGCCGGCAGCGCTCCTGGCGCCAGGCCAATGCCGGGCCCGGGGCTCCGGAGTGGTGAAGGCGCCTTGTCTTTCCGAGGCTGGTGTCTGTACGTGTTCACCGCCCGGGGCCACCGGGAACTGATCCTTCAGAATCTCGGGAGGCAATGAACTTGGGGTGTGGGATCAGAGCGAAACAGAATGCCCCCCCCCCCATGGGGAAATCGGCTCCGATGTCGTCTCGTGTCGTGCATGGCATGTGTGCAGGTTGGGGGGAGAGTGATCCTGCCCTCCTCCTTAGAAGTAGGTC